ACACTAAGTAAATACAAAGGAAGATATTTATTAGTAGTAGTGACCTATCTTGATGATAGAAGAAGATGCATTTATTGTGCAACTGGATTTTAATAGTAAACAAACGAAATTAATAATTAAACACAAACAGATAATTGGTTGAAGTCACGATTGATAATATAACATCAAGAAGAGTCCGAAATATACGATCGTGATAACACATCCACCGATTGGCATCGATCGTGATTGCAATCGATTGCGAACGGAACTCGTTGACAATCAATTGCTTACAATTTTCATTGGCAATCAATCATCAATACACCATCATTTTCTATCGCTAGCGGTTGCAATCGATTGCTAACGATATTCTTCGATAATTTTTGAACGCAATCGATTGTCAGCGATTATAATTGATTTTAATCGCTAACAATCGATTATAATCCCTATCGATGGTGAACGATGAGGGTGTTGATAATTGATTGCCAATGGGTATGGTTATAAATCGATTGCCAACGGGTATAGAAATTTCCTGATGATATGTATTTATATTACTAAATCATGAATTATCAATGATTATTCTGTCACTATGAAGTTATAGTTCTATTAATCTTAATATAATTATAACCATCACTAAATATTGATTAGTGAATTTCTTTTTTATAGCATATTTTAGAGATTCTGTGAAATCTAATTGTACGAACAAATTAATTCAAATATTTGTAAAAGTTTTAAATTTGCAACTAATTGGATGTGATTTTTTTGATATCTTCTGTTGAAATGAATTCTTATCAATCTTGTCTATCTACTGATACATTAATTCATTTATATAAAGATAAGCACTAGATACAATAGTATGAATAAGATTTTTGTTAAACATATTGTGAAATTGTCTTGCAAAATAAAAAGGATCATTATTTTCTGATACATCTATTAATATTAAATATTTTATAATATTTCAAAATCATTTATGTAACATATATTGCTCAAATGTCAGCATATTTCTGGTTCATAGACTGGTAATCACAAGTATCAGCACATTTAACATATGTTATAATTGTCAAAATATCAATGAAGCACATGAATTCCATCCAAGTTAAATTTTTTCACACTTGTTTATATGCTTTTGCACATTTATTTATTGATAATATTATTATAATTTAATATATTTAATGGATAAAAATCACTCAAAGAACTGTTTAGATGATGCATGAGTGATATCAATAATATTTACAATTGATACACTTGAATAAGAATGAAATACTTAATAAGAATTAATTGTAATAATTTCATCAGTTCACAACAAGTTATTTGTATTATCAATAGCTATTGCTTTATTATTTTTACTTTGCTCACTATCACTTGAGATGTCTATTTTAGGTTTATTTTAAATGTCTGTTTCAGATTCATTAATATCTGTATCCATATTATTAGTTATAAAAACACCTATAAACTTCATACAATCTGCTTAGATCTTGATTTCTAACTCTGATTGCGCATTCAGACTAATAAACTAGCGATTATTACTGGATGCTACTCATAAAACTGTGACGAAAAGTTACTTGGTTTTTTATAAGTCTCCTAAAAGTAAATGAGCTATATTTTTATTCAAAACTGAATCTAAAATGAAGATCTTGATATTTTCTTTGATATTTGGTAAATATTAAAGATGATTTCCTAAATTATTTTTGAAAAAAATGGTATTTCAGCAAATAATTTAGTTTTACTATGTTGCTTATATTAATGAATACTTAAAAATCACCTAAAAATACCTGTTTTGATTTGTAAAATCCAAATAATTTCAGAAAACAATTTTAGTTACTAATAAAATAAGTCAAAATAATTTTGAATTTAATTTTGATAAGTTAATTTTAGCAAATTATTTAATTAAATGACTTTATTTCAGCAATCATCCTTATAAAATATATTTCATTTTCGAAGATGGAGAGAATGAAGTTGAAAAAAATGTTTTAAAAGAAATTAACAGACTTATTAATATTATATAGGTCTTTTCACTATAGTTTATTTTATGTTTTTCTGACATAAATTAGCTTTCACACTCGCAGCTGGCAAATTTGAACACTTATTACATAATTTGAGCATCTAACTCACAATTATAATGACCATCTTGATTTTCTCAATTTTTCTGGCTTTTCTTTCGGAATGGTATTTCTAGAATTTGATGCAACATCTATTATTAATAAATCCTTTTTGTATGTTGATTGATTATCACATTTTCACTATCTGGTGCTACATTTCCACACTTTAACATGCAGATTTTGTCTCACATACAATTCCAATAAATCTACAATTATAGAATTACTTATCATTATTTAAAACTTGGTTAGCTTTTTTTAATTAGTAGAAAATTTAGTTTATTTACTGTCACAATGTAGTACATTGTACTACCGGTAGTACGGGTAAATCCAATCCATTAATAGCGTAATCCCGTAATAGGGTTATTGACAGGGTTCACAAACGAACTAGTTAATATACACTGAATAAACTTGGTTGTCTTGAGGTCCAAGATTGATTGTATCTATTCCGAGTTGTTATAACTTTTTGCTATGAAGATGATTTTTCAAGTTGAATCGTCACCATCTAAATAATATACAAAACAAATACAAAAAAATTAAATGAATGTACATAACAAATACCAAAAAATTAAATAATAAAACTTTGTTTATTAAACGAATTAGAAAACTAAAATAAAAATAATAATCATCAATCCTCTTCAGTCCATCCGTCTAATAATAAAAAGTGTGTACAACAGCAACAATAAATAATAATTGTCAATTATCAATCATAAATTTTATTTGTTGGATAAAAATCATCATCAACCCTCTTGACCAAAGTCCTTGGTGAACTTTGTATATTGTTCAATGTCTTTTTCATTGACTGTTGGCCTTGACACTTGTATGGCTCGTGAGAAATCGTTCATTCCAACCACCGGTTCCAAAAGTTGGTCTGGTTCGACTTCCATCCAAGTCATTTCCTTAGCCTCTGGATCGCCTGGTGAACATGGTGTTAAATGTGGTTTGATGACGGAACGATCATCTCGAGAAGCAGATTCGACCTATTAATTGTGGAAGATTTATATCTAATCCGGCGAGCGAAAAGTGATTAAAAAAAATAAAAAAAGAGTAACTTCTTACCCATTTGAAATGAGTAGCTGTTTGCACTTTACGAATCGGTTGCATCAGTGCATCACGTACCACAACAGCAATATCAGATCCAGAATATCTTTATAAATAACAAAATTAAGTATTTTTTCTTGAGAAAAAAATCAAGAATTTATCAAAATGTAATTAAATTCACCCTTCGCATTTCTCAGCCAGATTCTTAATATCTTCATGTTTTAACTCACAAGGCGTATCTCCTATATTCAACTCAAACATGTGTACCCGTGCGGAAGTCTCTGGAAGTGGAATATATATTCTTTTCTCAAAACGTCGCCGAATTGCAGCATCTAACTGCCACGGAAGATTAGTCGCACCCAATACAAGAACGCCGGTGGAATCATTGGCCGCTCCATTCATTTGCACCAAGAACTCTGTTTTAATTCTTCTACTTGCTTCACTTTCACCTTCACCACGTTGACCACAAAGCGCGTCGATTTCATCAATAAAAATAATCGCGGGCTTACTTTCACGTGCCATTGAAAAAAGATTTTTCACTAGTCTGGATATGATGCATCATATTATTGAGTAGTAGAGGTTGGAGGAGTATACAAAATCTATGTTGGTAATTGGATCAATAAAGAAAACATTGAACGATAAAAATATTTTGATTCGGTGATAATTACCGCTCACTTTCGCCCATCCATTTAGAAACTAAATCTGATGAGGAAACCGAAAAAAATGTTGCATTTGCCTCGGTTGCGACAGCTTTAGCAAGGTAAGTTTTACCGGTACCGGGTGGTCCGTAAAGTAAGATGCCTGACCAAGGTTTTCGTTTGCCAGTGAACAAGTGAGGAAATTTTATCGGCAAAATTACAGCTTCTTTTAATGCTTCTTTGGCAATTTCTAGTCCAGCGACATCATCCCATCGAATATTTGGTTTCTCGCTCATAATAGCACCTGAAATAGTTAATTTGATGAGATTCTGATAAAAAAACACAAGACATTTTCTATCTGAAAAGCTTATAATATTACTTGCTAATGCTCCACGTAATTTTTTGGTATCAGGATCGTCCACTGCATCGTCATCACTATTGGAACTATTAGTCTTCTTACTATGATACAAACAGAAATTCAGATTGTTAAGATTATTAGAACAATTTAATATAAACGCATAAGTCATGAGTTAAAAAGATTATTTAATTCTTGTATTCTAACCTTTCTTTACCACTTCCGCCCCCTCTCTCTGTACCATTAGCCCCAACCGCCTTCCGTTGTCGTTTTTCTTCCTTACTATTTAGATGGTCTTTTAACTTTTCTGCACGCTCAAGGTACTCTGTAAATTTTTTACGAATGGATTCTTTCATTCGATCATTTTTCTCATCTAAGATATGTTCAGATATTAATGATTAGACATTAGAAATGATGTATAATTAAATGGAGAGCCTGGATTCTTTCGAGCATTTAGCGTATATATGATATAACAGTACTCCTGGAATTCATTGACTCTAATGTTTATGTACAACTAGCATACTCTCTCGGTTACAGGCGTTATTTCCGTCTCACCCTACCTTTGCTGTCTCACCTACATTTCATAGCCATCATAAAATAGTCGAGCGCATTTTGATAATATTTGTAAGCCTGGTCATAGTTTCCTTTTGCATCTTCATCAGTGGCTTTTTTCACAATTTCGATTGCTTTCTAAAGAACGCGAAATAATAATGCAAAAGTTAAGTTAACCTTGAAATTCGACACGAAACAAGATGAAAGACGGGTCGCATTCCAATAGAGAAAAATGATTGTAAGGCTAACCCCAAGAAAATCGCAATTCGCCATCCCTCTCGACTCCTTTGATACTTGATTGAATTTGAGAAGTTGTGGTGGAAATGTTTTTGATACAGCTCGAAACGAAATAATAGATTTTTTGGCTCTATTATAATGAAAATTGTGCAGTGTTGTGCACTATATTAGATCTTGGCATTTTAGACACTGGCTTGGTTCTGCAAAGAATTTTCCACCGAATTAATAAATGTCGAGTCGCACACGTGTGTACGAAAATCATATCATGTCAAAAGAAGACACGGTGTTAAACGTTGCTCGTAAGGCGCGAGAAGCTTCAAATAAACTTCAACATGTCACTACTGAAGAAAAAAGTAACGCGTTGAAAAGCATTGTAGCCCATCTTGAAGCAAACAAAGAAGAAATATTTAAGGCTAATAAACAGGATAAAGAGGTTTACTTTTCATTACCTTTAGATTAATTGCTGTTTCATATATAATCGGCACTATTTACTCATGTGAAGTCTGACATTTGGACATAATAAAGTCTTTTACAAAGATAATACCATTATTATGACTAACCTTTTGGTCACTTTTTGCACTTTTAACGATCTCTTAATAGAACGGCAAAATTTGCCCCGAATTCCTATAATAATTTTGGCGCCGATTATATATGAATTAAAAAATTCGTCGAATTGACTAACATAATATAAATTATATAATAGAATGCAGAAAAACTTGTACAAAGTGGAGCACTTTCCGCATCACTGTATAAACGCCTAGATTTGGAAGGCGGCGATAAATTCGCTACTATGCTCCAAGGCATATTAGATATCGATAAATTACCGGATCCAACAGGACAGATCACATATAGCTCACGACTTGATCATGGATTAGAACTTTATCGTGTAACTTGTCCCGTGGGCGTCTTGTTGGTAATATTTGAGGCAAGACCTGAAGTAATTGTGAACATCTCGGCATTAGCTTTGAAATCGGGTGCGTTATCATTGACCTACGAAGTGCCCTTTTAATAAAAATATTAAATGCTTGTTATTGTTTGGATGATGGTAGGCAATGCCGTGATATTAAAGGGGGGAAGAGAGTCACGTCTCTCATTGAATGTGCTCTCAACAGCAATCCAAAATGCATTGGGTGACACAATGATCCCAAAAGATACAGTTCAACTTGTTGAAACGAGGGAAGAAATAAAAGCGTTATTGGATCTTGACAAGTATATTGACTTGGTTATCCCGCGTGGAAGTAACTCGCTAGTGCGTTATATACAAGAAAATACTAGGTAAATGATATTTACTACATATTATTATAATCTTGGCTCTATTTATTTATTTCAAGATTTAATAGATCGAATATGGCCCTCTAAATTATAGAATTCCAGTGTTGGGTCATGCAGATGGAATATGCTCGATTTATGTTGACAAAGACGCAGATCTTGAAAAGGCTATTCGAGTAGTGGTCGATTCAAAGGTAACAAACAAAAAACCGTGGTTTATTTTATTCTATTTAATATCTATTTTATTGATAATTTTTATTCTCAACAGGTTAATTATCCAGCGGCGTGTAATGCAGTAGAAACGCTTCTTATTCATCAGTCAATTGTCTCCACTCACCTACAACATATCGCTATAGCCCTTCAAAACTCAAGAGTGAAACTTCACGCTGACATTAAATCATTTTCGCAATTAAGCAAGACCATCACTACCACACTTAATTCTTCATTAATTGAACCAGCAGTAGACAAAGATTTCGACACGGAATTTCTTGATCTCGAGATAGCAATCAAAGTGATCGGAGATCTCGAAGAAGCAATACAGCATATAAATGAACATGGGAGTAAACACACAGACGCGATTGTGACCGAGAATGAACAAGTAGCCAAAAGATTTATGCAAGGTGTGGATGCTGCAGGTGTATATTGGAATGCAAGTACTCGATTTGCTGATGGTTTTCGATATGGATTTGGTGCTGAAGTTGGGGTAATGTTACTATTGCCATTGATTTCTGTTTGTTCTTAAGAAATCATTAATTCATATATATTATATTATAGGTCAGCACTAATAAGACTCATGCACGTGGACCTGTTGGTCTAGAAGGTTTAATAATATACAAGTATAAATTATACGGAAATGGACATATAGTCGGAGAATTCGGCGAAGGAGAAGGAAAAAAGAAATATTTGCACGAATCAATTAGTTAATACCGTATAGTGCCGAAAATAAACACCCTGTGACATTTCCCCCCCCCCCATTTTTTTTTAGTAATTTTCTTAATTTATTACAAGATGCTTATTTTCAGCATTATATGGGATCTTAAAACTTTCACTTCATATAATTATTATTTATTATTTGGAGTTGAACTTAGTAGTACATATGGTCAGTGGTTATGTCACACGATGATCAGAACAAAATGAATTATATTATTTATACGTAGTTAACGTTAATGATAAATGTAATTATAATATGAAAATTACATTTCTATTATAACTATGTGACATAGTTAAATGTACAAGGTTTTATAAGCTTAGTTCTTTCCAAAGACAAGTTTTATTTCTTAGTTAACACGTTCCTACAATATTCTGAGAACTCTCAAAAGGAAATTAAGTTAAAATGCCTCTGTTCATGAAAAAAAAATGCGTGAGATTTCACATATTTAACGTTAATATACAGTGGCCTGCAAAAATAACGCACCACTTACATTGCTAATCGCTGATCACCTGATTTTCACTCACATGCAATCCGATGAACGCAAAAATAATAGACAAATAACATCTAATACTGTGCTACAAATGATAAATAAACAGAAACATATTGTTATGTCAGTTCATCTATAATCCATGTCGATCCGCAAAGTGATGGTGCGTTTTTTTTGCCATTTTTAAAAAATATGCTTTAACTTTTTTTTGAACATATAAAATCTCTTCTTCTGAATATACTCTATCTTTTTTTAAATATATTTCATCTTTTTTAATTCCAGTTTTACAAGATCAAATATCAGAAGATGCTTAACTTTTAATATTACAAAATCTAGTACCAGACAATGAAAAAACTTTAATTTACGCTGAATTTATTTTTATAATAAATATTTTCAACAGAAAACTTGACTCTATATATTATCTCTGCCACTATATCAGTAATCAGCAGGAACAGACAAAGAATATTAAAAAGCTAATTGTAACTAATAAATTGTCTGATAATTTTTGAAAGGTACTTATCTTTGATTATGTTCAAAGCTAAAAATCAACCTGCAAAGTTTTAATTTTTATTATTTTATACAGCAAGCATATAAAGATGTAGTCAAAGAATTAATTCCCATCATTTTGTATCTGATATTCAAAGAATATTATCAATCAATTAAAAAATACTTAGCTAACTATGCTAAAAATTTTATTGATACCATTGATCAAAATGCATGAATATCATTATTCACAGAAAAAATTCTCCATATTCTCCATCAGGTTCATTATAATTGTAAATTTTATTTTTGCAGCTTTTAACTTTTTTTTTGTTTAGATAAAGATAAAATACCATAGTAAATGCAATAATTATATTGTTGCTATTCAAAACATGGTATTTTTAATTTTTAGTGAAGAAAAATTAGCAAGAATCAATAACAACACTATCTCTGTTCATTTAGCAAAATGAAAACAAAATGATAAAACATGAGATGTATATAATAAACTCTTTGAAAATGATTAAATACTATTAAAGATTGATTATATAATCTTTAAACAATATAAAGAGAAAATACTACTAGTTATTTATTGTGCATTCATATTAGTAATTAGTAATATTCTTCTGAATTCAGCCAACTCTGACATAAAGTGCAAAGACAAATTGGTAGCTAAACATGTACATGCATTTATGATAAATAATTCTTATAACTTTGTTTGAAATTTAATTAAAAATTCTTTACAGATATTTGTTATTTAGAGATTAATTAAAAACAATGAGTCAATAACTTAAAAATAATGAAAAATATAATGAAAAAAAGAAATTAAAGAAGAAAAGGAAGTGACCTAAAGAAAGTACTGAAAGTTATACAAGAAAGTCATTGAAAATAAAGGAGAAAATGAGATAATTACAATTGAAGATGATGATAGTGATGAAAATGATAATTATAATAATTTTATAAGTTTCTTTAATATAATATTCTTTGCAATTTTTTTAAAAAAAATCACTGATTTAGACTACATATATATATATATATTTATATAATTTTTTATCATTTTTATTATTAATATTTACAATAAACTATATTTATTATTCTTTAAATATTAAATTTTATTGTTCTATAAAATTAAATAATACTATTACAAAGTATATTATTATGAAATACTATTATAAATATCATTACAAAGTTTTGTGTAGAATTTTTTTAAAAAAATAAAAATTCTGCATAAATTTGTATATTATTACAGATTTATATAGAATTTTTATTTTTTTTACAAATTACTGTCAGATTTAAAGATCTTTGAAAAATTTTGAATTCAAAGATTTGTGCAAAATTACACTCTTTGATGTTATCCAATAAAGTAATATTAAATTGTATAGTTGTGTACTGTAACTCTAAATAAATAATATATCTTTTAGTAATTTATTTTTTTTAGTATTAAAAGCACTAGAGCATATAACTATAAGTATAGAAATATTAATATCTTTATATTTAGTTAGTAATTTCTATTAGTTAATTGTCTCTTTGAACACACTCTTCCAATTTCTTTTTTTACTTTCTGATAAAATTATTTAATAATTTCTGTTAAAATTGACATAGATTTAAATATTTATTTTTGTATTGATCAATTTTATTAGTCTATTTCTCTTTTCTAATTCATATAATTCTCTTACTGAAAGTGAAGAAACTTTTTATTTAAAGTAATTGTAGCAGTATATTTTTTGTTTTATTTTCTTTTACTATTTTACTAAATTTATTTATTCTTGTATTTTTTACTATAAAATTTATATTTTTATTATTTTGTTTATATCTCTATTATATTTATTTTTATTTTTTATTTCATTATTTTTAATTAATTATTTTTATATTTATTTTCTTTTCTTTTTATCTCTTAATTTTTTTGTTATAATTATCTATAATCATGTTTATATTATTATTTTCTTTCTTTATAATACTTCTTTTTACTCAATTTCTTATTTTTAATTACTAAAATTGCAACTAATTTTCTTTTATATTTTCTTGTTAATAAATTTGTATAATTTTTCATTTATTTTTTTAGTATTTATTATTAATATTATCTGTAAATCATGATATAATTTAGAATAGTTATTAGTTATATAAATTATATAAAAAATTGAAAATATATAAAAGAAGAGTCTCTTGTTGTTAGAAACTTTCATGCTCTAATTTTTTGATTTAATAAAATAATAAAGTTCTTACCAGTAATATTTTACTTATAAATATTGTTCTTGTTAATTCAAAAATTGTTAAAATTAATAAACTAACAAAATAATATAATAGTAAAAGAACAAAGACTAAATAAATTATAATTAATAAAGTTCACTAAAAATTCTAAAAATCTCCCATAATAGTGTTATCATTCTCATCAAAAATTTCATAATTACTTAATTATTAATCAATAAAAATTAAGATTATTACAAAGAATATTAATATAATATCATATAATTCAATGATAATCAAATTAATTTGCCTCTTTATTTTATATTATATTTTATTACATGATTATATTTAGTATATATCATTATTTTTTGATATCTAAATTATAATATCTAAATAATAATTACATTTTTGTACATTTTTTGTTTTATTTCTTTTACTATTTCACTAAATTCATTTATTTTTGTATTTTTCACTATAAAACTTATATTTTTATTATTGATTTATTTCATTTATATCTCTATTATGCTTATTTTTATCTTTTGATTTCATTATTTTTAACCAATTATTCTTATATTTATTTTATTTTATTTTTTACTTTTGTTACAATTACTCTTTTTATCTTTTAATTTCTTTGTTATAATTATTTATAATCATGTTCATATTATTATTTTCTTTCTTTACAATACTTTTTTACTCAAACTCTTACTTTTTCTTATCTTTAACCACTAAAATTTTCTTTTATATTTTCATGTTAATGAATTTGTGTAATTTCTCATTTATTTTTTTGATATTTGTATTATATGTAAATCATGATATAGTTTAAAACAATTATTAGTTATGTAAATTGTGTAAAAAATTGAAAATATATAAAAGAAGAGTCTTTTGTCACTAGAAATTCTCATAATCTAATTCTTTTATTTAATAAATAACAAAGTTCTTACTAATAATATTTTACTTGTAAATACACTATTATTTTCATGAATTATCTTTAAATCTTGAAATTATAAATAATAGATACTTCTCCACTCTAAATAAGCTATTGATATTATTACTTTTATTTAATTTAGTTTTATTATTTTTAGATAATCTCAATAAATTCTGTTTAATTATTTTTAGTTATTTTTATTTATATTTTATAATTGGTATTTTTAATAAGTCCAATTGTTATTTTATTTTATTAGGTATTATCAATAAGTCCTGTTATTTACTTTGAAATTATTTATTAATTTCTTTAATTCTTTTTACATTTTTACTTTATTTTTCTATTCATTTTTATTTTTTATTGATAATAATTAGTTAGTTTGTATACAAGCTATCACAGAAGATCTTTAGAATTTTTAGTGAACTTTATTAATTGTAATTCATTCAGTTTTTGTTCTTTTACTGTTATATTATTTTATTAGTTTATTAATTTCAACAATTTTTAAATTAATGAAAACAATAACTTGTATATAAACTAACTAATTATTATCAATAAAAAATAGAAATAGATAGAAAAATAAAATAAAAATACAAAAAGAATTAAAGAAATTAACAAATAGTTTTTAAAGTAAATAACAGAACTTATTAATAATGTCTAATAAAATAAAATAATAATTGAACTTATTAAGACTATCAATTATAAAATATAAACAAAAATAATTAAAAATAATTAAATAGAACTTATTGAGATTATCTAAAAATAATAAAACTAAAATAAATAAAAGTAATAATGTTAACAGTTTATTTAAAGTGAGGAAGCATCCACTACTTGTAATTACAAGTTTTAAAGATAATTCATGAAAATAATAGTATATTTACAAGTAAAATATTACTAGTTATTATTAAATAAAAGGATTAGAGCAT